GACCCCCTCCCAAAAGAAAGAAGCCCAGCCAGACTGGTTAGCCACTTCCCATGATCCAGCGGGGAAAATGATCACACTCAATTAATAATTTATCTTTTATTGAAATTGTTGAATACTATATATTACAGTAAAGTTGATTGAAAAAAAAAAGAGAGAAAAATCAATCTTAAAAAATACACTCATGTTGAAATCAAAGAAGCCAGCCAAACCGGGTGCAAACCAAGGTTCTGCAGGGCGGTTTGCTCTTCAGTATATGAATATCACTGAGTCTATACACAATTCTATAATGCGAGAAAAGTCATTCACAAAACACTTGAGGAAAGGAGCCCGCAGCCGCGAGGCCACGGCACTGCCCTCCCGTCCTGCCACACTGGGCACAACCCGGGCTCCAGAGCGTGACTCCCAGTGCAGCCCTGGGGGCGAGGTTCCGGCCCACCGCTCTCCATGCAATTCCTGTAAGTCCCACTGTGCAAATTAAGGCTTCTGATAGGTCGGATGGTTGATAAACACTTTTATCTTTGAAAAATGAGCACAGTAATGGTGGTACCAAGAGAACCTGAAGAGATGAGACCTGTACCCCAAATCCAGAAGAGTTACTCTGACACCTCCACTCCACTCATGTACACGCAGAAGAATCCATCTTTGGGTGGGCTGTTGGAATTCACCAGCTGGTGAAGCAAACACTGACGGATGTGCTCTGGACACCTAGGGTCGAGGACGTCACGCAGAAAGCTGTGGCCCTCACGGACTGAAGGAGTAGAGCAGGAGACCCCCAAACCTAGGCACTCACGACCGTGTGAGAGTGTGTGTGTGTGTGTGTGTGTGTGTGTGCACGCGCCCTTAAGACAGAAAGCAAAAAAGACAGAATGGAGTCCTCCGACTCAGGGGACAATGAATGACCAGTTCGAAATCCCACAAGAGACTGTCCTGCACCCTGACAGCTTCCTCTCACATTGGGGACGAACCAGCGCTTCACGCCCGGCTGGCAGGAGAAACGGTTGCTGTTTTTTCTTTATTCCTTGTCACAAACCTGAGTAATTGTCAAAGTCAATAAATAGGGGGAGAGAATTAAAACGCTAACATGTAATGGTCAACACCCTACAGGGCCTGAAGCAGCAAGGGGCGTTTGCAAATACAGCCCTCGGTTCTGAGGTGCGCCTGGCCCGGGTGCCTGGGGCCGAGCGCGCAGCAGCCATGCCTTCACAGGAGGACGCGGGCCCCGGGCGCCGGCCCTGCCTTCGCCACCGGGGGCAACACCTTCCAGGGACTGTAAACAACCACGAAGGAGCGGCCCGGCCTCCTCCATCCTCTCCCCCGTCACAAAAACTCTTCCCTTTTGAAACAGTTTTTGTTAAAGGCAAATTACAGAAGCATCATCGAGTTGAGTCTTATTTGGTTGGAGGTGCTTGGCTGGCCCACGGCTCCCACTCTCCGGTAGGCACCGTGGGTTAGATGTGCAGCAGGTCCTCGTCACTGTCATCGTGGAAGGACACCAGCTTGGTGGAGGGCGGCGGCTGGCCGGCCCTGGGCCGTGCTCTGCTCTCTGGTCCTCCCCTGGTGGGCCTGGCCCTGCTGTCCTCCCTCTCCCGGAGCGCCTTCCTCGGTGGGTTTCTCGCCAAGTGGGAGCTTTCTGCCCCTGCTCCTCTGCCCGAGTGCACTTTCACCTCCGGGATGGTCAGAACCTCGTCCTCGCTGTCCTGGTCGTCCCCGTGAAGGGAGGTGAGGGCCTCAGCTTTCACAGACTTGGTGGTGATGTGGCCATTCTCCTGCCCTTCCTTTCCTGCCCGTGGGGCCGGCAGCTGGATCTCTTCCATCAGCCACTCGGTTTCATTCTCATCTGTCTCTTCTTCCTTGTTCACCTGCCAGGGATCAAGAGCAGAGACATGAGCTCCCTCGGAGACCTTGTCCCGTCCCTTTGTGCTCTCTTTCCACGAACACCCCATGCTAGGGACAGGGGAGGAAGCCGACGGCTGCTTGCCCAACTGAGACCACACACGGCGAGGCTCGTAGGAGGGTGAGATGGCCCCTCTGGCAGAGCCTCGCAGGCAGTGGGCAGGGCCCGGCAGGTGTGCTGAACGGCCTGACCAGGAGAGCGGGCCAACGGCAAGGCAGAGTGCGAAGACAAGGGGTTCTTCGAGCCACTCGTCTCTCTCCAGGCCCAGTGGGTGTGGGTGGCTGCGGCAGGGACATGGTACATAAGAGAGTCACAGGAGGGAACCAGCAGTTAGCGTAATGGCTATGTCACTGGACTCCCACGTAGTCGACCGTGGTTCGCATCCCGGACCCCGTGGC